AGAGACCATCTGGTAAAATCTATCATTTCTTTTGTGTGTCTCCATGTTTTTATTTCTCTCAAGCTGGTGACACACACAGGCAGCCAGTATAGAACTGGGCTTATTTTGGGGTTTGGGGTACAGAGTTATATGTCGTTCAAAGAGTAGGTGTTCCCAAGGAGTGCCGGTCAACTCTGATTGGTTAACACACTGGAAAGTGAGCTATATTAAAATGAGGTATATGACTAAAATGAGGGGTATGTGACTTAGGTCACCTAAATCTTGATCAAAGAAACATCAATTTCCATATCACCTGTCTTGGCAATAGGGAGAATCAACATTTTCCCAGATGTGTCTCAGCAAACCCAACAAGCAGGAATATACCCACCAGCCCAGGATAAGGAGAATCTGCAAGAAGAGGGATGGGGGAAGCTCTGAGTCTCTAAGATAATGATTACTAAGAAAAATAATTTTTCACGTTCTCCCACCTGCAAATCTATCATTTTTTTTTTTTGCAGAAGTGGAAACTGAAGTTCAGAGGACAAGTGATTTACTCAAGGTCATCCAGCTACCAAATAGTAGAGTCAGAATTTGAACTCAGGGCTTCTGGCTCCAAATCTACTAACATACTACATGTGATAGAAAAGAAGGCAAGTGAGGGGAAGGGGTCCCAAGTGAAAGTTATGAAGAGCTTCTGGCCATTTCTTGGGCTCCCATACTTGGCAGCATCTAAAGATTTTACAACTTGGGTACCTGGAGCTCTTCCCTCCCTGATATCCCTAAGGGATTCTCAGGCTATCTCCTCACTCTCCTCAATGAGAAGCTGGCAAGCATCTGCCTGGGCACCCAGCTACACCCTGTGTGCTCCTGATTGGTCAGTTTCCAGAAAGATAAATGGAACACAGGGGGGAAAACTTTCTGTTTACCTTGCAAGGTGTTCCAATGTCACCAGAGCATTTTGGGCAATGCTTCTTGTGTCTGATGTTGATAGGTAGAGCCAGTATTTTTATGATAGCATTGGGAGGTAGATAGTTGACTTCTTGCCAATTGTCTTCATCAAAAAAGATAAGAATATGATTAGTAGCAACAATAATAATCAACAAGCATTTATTATGAGCCCACTGCAGGCTTTATAGTAGTTGTTAACTGGAAACAGGAAAACAAAAATGAAGCTGTCTATGCCCTCAAGGAGCTTACATTCTAGCAAGGGAGATCACATTTCATAAATAAATGCTGTGGAGGGCTTTAAAAAGTGAAACGGGAGATTATATTTTATTCTAGAGGCAATAGGGAGTCACTGGAGTTTATTGAGTAGGGGAATAGCATGAAGAGACCTACACATTAGAAAAATCACCTTGGCAGCTTTGCAAAGAATGGATTAGCATGGGGAGTCTCCCTTGAGGCAGGGAGACTAAATAGGAGGTCATTGCAATAGTCTAGGTTGATGGTGACCATGTAAATAGAAAGAAAAGGATGGATGTGAGATATTGTGGAAGTAGAAAGGCAAGATTCCTGCCAAGTGATTAAATACGTAGGGTAAGAGAGAGTGAGGAGCTGAGAATGATATTAAGGTTACAGATCTGGGTGACTGATTGGTGGTGCCCTAATGGAAATAGGGAAATTCAGAAGTGGGGAAGGCTTGGGGGTCATGGGAGAAAATAATGAGTTCTGTTTGGGATATGTTGAGTTTGGGTACTCATCAGCTATTCAGTTCAAAATATACAGTAGGCAGTTTTCTGGAGCTCAGGAGGGAGACTGGGACTGGGTATATAGATCTGGGAGTCATCTAAGTAGATATAATCATTAAGCACATGAGAACTGATGAAGGTGCTGAGTGAGAGAGTATACAGAGAGAATAGAAAATAGCCCCAAGAAAGGGTCTTGGGGTGTGCCAATGTTTGGAACATGTTGTGCATGGTGAGCCAGCAAAGGACACTGAGAAGTGAGAGAGCAATATGTCGAACATCTAGAGTAGTGAGCATCCAGGAGGAGGATGTGGATAACCTTGCCAAATGCTTCAAAGATTGGGAAGACTGAGAACTGAGAAAAGATAACAGATTTGGCCATTTGGTTCATAGGTAACTTTGAAGAAAGCAGTTGCAGCTGAGTGCTAAAGCCAGCTTGCAAAGGGGTGAGAAGTGAGTGAAAGGAAAGTCAAGTTAAGGTACATTGATTAAGTGCCTACTATGGGCCAGGAACTCTGTATATGGCTTTCTCAAGGAGTTAAATTGTGAAATGGAGGAGAGATAGAGAATGATAGGTCAAGGAAATGGTAAAGTCTAGTGAGGCTTTCTTTTTTTTTCAGGATGAGGAGATTTGGACATGTTTGTAGGCATCAAATAAGGAGCCAGTAGATAGGAAAAGGGTGTGTGTGTGTGTGTGTGTGTGTGTGTGTGTGTGTGTGTGTGTGTGTGTGAGAGAGAGAGAGAGAGAGAGAGAGAGAGAGAGAGAGAGAGAGAGAGAGAGAGAGAGAGAGAGAGAGAGAGAGAGAGAGAGACTCAATCAGACAGACACACATAAAGAAAAACAGATAGGGAGATTCAGGGGATTGGTAAATTATCTTCTGCTGGAGAAGACTTGATGGGATCTGGGATCAAGTGTATGTGCAGAGGGCTTGACCTCGGCAAAAGCTTTTGAGATGTAGAGAAGGGGAGAAGAGGGCACTCAACCTCAACAAATCCCAAACTGCCCATCAATTGAGCTCTGTTCACAGTAATGAGATCCTTGGCTGAGGGAGAAGAGGTAGGAAATGGAGTGGGAGGCTTGTAGAAAGAAGAGGTTTGGAACAGTGTCTGTGGGGAGTGGGATAAAAATTCAGTTGTTGTTGAGTCATTCAGTCATGTAGGACTCTTTGTGACCCCATGGACCAATGCATGCCAGGCTCTTCTATTCTCCACTATCTCTCTAAGTCTGTCCAAGCCATTGATCATTGTTTCCATGACAATATCTATCCATCTCCTCTTCTGCCATCCCCTTTCCTTTTGCCTTCAATCTTTCCTAACATCAGAGTCTTTTCTAAGTCTTCTCACTATGTCGCCAAAGTATTTGAGTATTTGACCTTCAGTATTTCACCTTCCAGTTGAATAGCCTGAATTAATTTCTTTAAATATCTATTGAGTTGATCTCCTTGCTGTCCAAAGCACTCTCCAAAACCACAGCTGTAAGTATGATTCTGTGTGCTTAGCTCTCCTTATAGTCTATCTCTCTCAGACTTGCTGTGGGGGTCCAGGTCAGAGTAGATAATATAATTTTGTAGTAGAATCAGCCTGCTTGACTTGATTTTGTTATTCAGTAACACACCAGAGAAGAGGAGGCTATTGACAGCCGGAGCAATCCAAGGTTTGGGTTTGGTGAGGTGTTCACAAAAATAGGACAGGAGGGAAAAAAGATTTGGAACCATTAAGTGTAACAAGCATAAGATAATAAATGAATGAACGAAGTGCTTCCTATGTGCAAAGCACTGGGAATACAAATAGAAAAGTCAGCTAGTCCCCGACTCCAATTCTCCCATTCTAATGGGGGAGACAACGCATATAAATCACGTAGAAATGTCCCATGGTCCTTAGGATGCAGCAGCACAGCAGATGGTAATGCCTCTTATTTAACGTCATTTCTTTATGGCTCAGGAGGAAAAAGTGAGGCTAGTGACTCTGCACAGCCCTCCCTCACTTAAATCCAATTCACCTACAGGTCATGGCATCACTTCCCTGATGGTCCTTTTCTTTTCTTTTCTTTTCTTTTCTTTTCTTTTCTTTTCTTTTCTTTTCTTTTCTTTTCTTTTCTTTTCTTTTCTTTTCTTTTCTTTTCTTTTCTTTTCTTTTCTTTTCTTTTCTTTTCTTGGCAATTGGGGTTAAGTGACTTGTCTAGGGTCACACAGCTAGTAAGTGTCAAGTGTTTGGTCTGTGGCTGGATTTGAACTCAGGTCATCCAGACTTCAGCGCCGGTGCTGTATTCACTGCGCCACCTACCTGCCCCTCCTGGTGGTCCTTTTCGAGATAGAAGGACAGACAATGACAACAACAACAACTTTTTCTTTATAGAAGCTGTTATTGTGAATTAGCTCTCTTGCCAAAGGTGACAAAATAACAAAAAAAGGTCTTAATTTGGGGATGTTATTTAATTTTTTTCTTTTTGAAATACCACATAGTCCAAAAAGAATGGTCATTTATAGCACAGAACTAATTTACAGTCAACTCAACCCTTAATCATGCTTTGTGGTTTAACTGGGGGGAAATTCTGTGCTCTTTTCTTCACCTGGAGTGGGGCTCTTCTCTCCCACCTTCCAGTTGGTTCCAGGGCTATTTCCCCTAGTTGCTGCTGGGCATCCTGTTGCACCAGCTTCTCTTGTTTCTGTCCAAGTAAGGGCAAAATTAGGAGGAATTGGGACAAGGCATAGTGGGAGAAGGCTGAAGGTGAAATAAATGAGTTAAAATAATACTCAAATGCCTTTTTTTTTAAAGGTTATCTTCACTATGACTCCCTTCTCCCTCAGCAGGGTAAACTGAGTTGACTGTTACTACTGGAATTCCCTCCCTTCCCCAAGAAAGTTGTTATTTATTTACATAGAAAAAATATTTCCTGATTGTTTTCCAATGTTCAAATACATTAATAGTCTGCATTTACACAGTGCACTCCAAAGATCAGGAAACAGAAGGATCCCACTGCTCTCTGACAGCCATGACTGATCAACCCAACAGCCTTCTTTAGATGACTTCTTTGCCATAACCTAAGTTGTAACCTTGTGACAATAAGGAAATACAAGAGGAAGTAGATTAAATAAGTCAAATAGGTTTTCAATGTTTCTGAATAGCAATTTCATCCAACTAAACAAATCAATAGCATTTCAGTATGGCTCCTTTAAGAGAATAAGGCATTGACCTTACTTTTAGAATGTTGGGTAACGTCAGCCAATAGATGGCCTCTGGCACTAGCACGCTCTCTGCTGCCCTTTTGTCTTTTCAGCTTCTGGCTGGAGCCACTGAATTCCTGCCCTCCAGTCCGTTGCCTCCAACAACAACAACAGAACAACTAAGTAACTTGTACAGAACTGAAGGCATAGACAGAAACTCAGAAGTTTCTGAGCAGTGCGGTTGCTCTGATGGCTAGATTTACAGACTCCTGCCCCTCCTTGCTTATCTCTGGCTCCTGCTATCTGAGGGAGCCCCACCAGCCATCAAAGAACAACTTCTCCTTTTAGAAGAGGTAATCCAGTCCAGCAATGTGTGCCAAGGTCTAAAATGTTTTTTAAATGATATTTACAACTTATCATTGGAGTATTAACCATGATTTTTCTGGTCATTTAGGGAAGGTCATTCTTTTGCATCAGTTTTTTGCCCTGATTACTCATCATACATTTTAAACTTTCTAGGAGATTATGTTGTAACATTTGTTCAGGGGCAGCAGGGGCAATTTCAAGGCAAGGTCTGTGAGATATCATATAAGTATTTCTTTTTAAACGTTGTTATGGATAAATTGAAATCGCATGTTATGGCAGCTCCATCAGTCAAATAGCCAGCTTTTGCCTGTGACTTCTATAAGATTTTCCTTACAATTACACTGACAATAAAGAAAAAAATGATCAGAACAGCATGCTAAGCCCTTCCTCCTTCACAATGGTGGCTGCAGCAGAACCAGGCTTGTTGTTTTTACCATATTTTCCTTATCTGCAGCCCATTTTCCTCCTTAAATTATTTGTTTTCCCCCCTATAACCTCAGAACTACTATTTGTTGGTAGCCTTTTATATTTTTCCATTACTTTCTTAGCTTCAGTAGCATTCCAAAGATAAACTAGAGATTTAGACCTAACAAATGATTGTCTTTGTTGTCATCGTGGAAGTGGTTATATTTATTTCTACATTATATGTTTTATTATTTTCTGCCAGAGATTCGAAGACACATCTAAGTTTTGAATCCATAAAATGGTCCAGGTTTGCCTCCCTCCATACTGCTCCCATATTTGAGGTGTTGGTTGGAGCAAACAGATTCAACCATAAACTCATATTTTTTTTTCTCATTAGGATCATAAGTGAAAACCCACAACATCACTGACACATTAATTGATGTCCTCACGTCAGTAATTCCACTGTTGAGTCTCACACACGCCAGCAGAGTTTGGTGGTTTTCACTTTAACATCCATTTCATTCAGAGGTCTTCTTTAGGTCGGTGGTGACAACACTGACGAGCAGACCTTTGAATCTGAACTCATTCTGAGGCTCTAGGTTCAGGACCTGGTCCACTTTCACCATATTGCTTGGATTCTTCAATGTCATTTCACTAATAAGATCCTATCAATTTCTGATGTTGAACCATTTGAAAGCACCAAGGGTGTTCATGGCAAGAACTTTCTTTTCTGGGCCTTTAGTGGCTGTGGCCATAACACATAAAGGAGCAGTTGGCAGGCTTCATCTCCACAAGGTTGCATCTTAGGGTGATGGTTGAGGGCACTGGGCTGGAAGCACCATTATTGGGTTCAGGTTCCTGGGCTGAGGGCAAGATGGTCAAGGTGGTGGTGATGATTTGACTTGCCTGGCACACGCTGCCTCTGGTCTCTCCTTCAGGGTGCCTTACTTTTCAGCTAGGCTGGCCTGGCTGCCTTGTGTGTATGGTAATTAGTTGGCAATTGGTAAGGGTGGCTGGCCCCTTTTCCACAGGCGTTGCTTCCATGAGTGGTGAATGTGAGGACTGGTGGCCTAGAGGTTGTTGCCACTCCCAGGGTCCCTGTGTATATCTGCCTGTTGGTAGTCAATGGTCAGCAGCTGCTGCTGATGGTAATAAAGAAGATTCAGCCAATCTCTACAATGATCTCTTTCCCTCCATAATGACCTCAGGGGCCCGGCTGTAAACAGGTGTGGCAGGTTTGGGAGGCACTGATATTCCCAAGGCTCTTGGGCTCAGGGTCCTGGGCTGCCTCCTTCAGGGTCTGAGGAGATGATGACCAAGGAGGTGCTGCCTTCTCTCGCTTGGATACCTTGCTGCTTATAAATGTGATGATCAAACAACTGGCATGTACTTTAAGAATAATAAGTACTTTATGGTTTGCAAAATACTTTACATATAGTTTTCTGAATTTTGATCTACACAGCAAACTTCGGTGCAAGGTTAGTTAATAATTAAGTCAACTCAATATTATAATGTGCTTATTATATGCCAGTCACTATGATAAGCCCTGGGGATATTAAAAAAAAAAAAGGCAAAAAGAGTCCTTGCCCTCAGGGAGCTCACATTCTAATGGGGCGGGGGAGAGACAACAATGCAGACAACTATATATTAAGGGGGACTAGGAAAGGTTCTGGAAGATGGTGAGATTTCTGCTGAGATTTGAAGGAAACCAGGGAAGCTAGGAATTACAATGGAGAGCACCCCGAACATGGGGAACAGCCAGGTTTGGAAATGCCTAGCATTGGGAAGCATAGTGTCCTGTTCAAGGAACAAGAAGGAGGTCAGTGTCACTGGATGGTAGAGCATGTAAATGGGAGTTAAGTGTAAGAAGACCAAAAAGGTGGGGAAGGGGGCAGGTTCTAAAGGGCTTTGAATGCCAAATAGGGGCTTTTCTATTGGTCCTAGAGGTGCTAGGGAGCCACTGGAACTTACTGAATAGGAGGATGACAGCATTAGACTTGCACTAGGAAGATCAGTTTGACAGCTGAGAGGACTATGAACTGATGGGGAGAGACGAGGCAGGCAGACCAGCCAGCACCCTGCTGCAATAGTCAAGGGTGAGGTGGGGAGGAGCTGCTGATGCAGGCAGTGGAGAGCCAGGGTCAGAGGTGTATGCCAGACATGTTATGAAGGTGGAATTGACAGGGCTTGGTAATGGTATGATATGGCTGGCAGGAGACAGTGAGGAGTCTAGTATGACATTTAGATCTAGAGCTGAGTCATTACAAGGATGGTGATGCCCTTGACAGTAATAGGGACGCTCAGGAGAGAGGAGGGTTTGGGGACTAAATATAATGAGTTCAGTTTTGGACATGTTGAGTTGAAGATGTCTATAGGACATCCAGTTTCAGATTTCCAATAGGCAGACGGACATAGGTATTATCCTCAATTTGCAGATGAAGGAACTGAGTTTAGAGAGATTAAGGTACTTTCCCAAGGTCACCTCTATAGTAATACCCAAACCCAGCTCTCACCTTAAGAATACACAAGGGAAGGGGCAGCCAGGTGGCACAGTAGATAGAGTGCTGGCCTTGGAGTCAGGAGGACCTGAGTTCAAATCCAACCTCAGAAATGTGGTACTTACTAGCAGTATGACCCTGGGCAACTCACTTAACCCCGCTGCCTAGCAAAAATCACAAAAAAGAAAAAAAGAATACACAAGTGAGTCCAACTTTGAAGGAGCCCACTCTACAGAGGCATAGATAACCTTAACTGATTGCAGAGAGTATAACAATAGTAGTTTATCATTTACGTAGTGCTTTGAATGCATTATTTTCCTTTGATCCTTAAAATTACCCTATAAGGGCAATATAGAAATAATAAGAGTAATACAGAAAATAATACAAGGGTAATATAGAAAACTTTGTTGAAGTAAAATGATCTATTTGGGCTTGATCCACTTTGAAGTTCAATTAGTTCATCTTGGTTTCTGATTGACAGCTAGATTAGCATCATGTCTTAGACTGATAGCAACATGAGAAGGCAGATAGATTAGATGTATAGATAAATGAGATGGGAAGATAGATTGGTGCATGGATGGATGGAAAAAGCATTTGTCTGCTTAGAAGCAGCTAGGTGACACAGCGCACGTAACACTGGGCAAGCCCAAGGAGTCAGGAAAACCTGAGTTCAAAAGAAGCCTCAGACACAAGCTGTGTAACCTTGGGCAAGTCATTTAATCTCTAGCTTCCTCCATTTGTTCAACAGCAAAATATGGGTAATAATAGCACTTATCAAATGAGATAATATTTGTAAAGCACTTAACGCAGTTCCTATCACATAGAGGGCTCTTAATAAGTGCTTGTTTCCTTCCTTAAGTGATAGCTATGTGGCAGGGCTAAGAGTTGGGGACACTAATATAATTTAGAAACACAGTCCATTCCCTCAATGAATTTACATTCTGAAGAATACTGGAAGGGTTTGGCAGGGTGCAGAAAGTAAAATGACATGGAGATTGAAGTAGTGTAGAGACCTGGATGGGTGGGTGAGGGGGATAAGATAAGATAAAAGTCACCTATTAGAGCCAGGCATCCCTGGGGGCAGAGTTCAGGGTCAGGATGGAAGGGAGAGGAGGAAGATGGCCAGAGTGCAAGAAGCATGGATGTGTAGATAAGCTGGGAAGTGGTACAAAGACCTGGTTCCAGGCAAAATGAGACAGAAACTCACCTGTCAGAGGCCAGTCTGGTAGGTGAAAAGACAGCTCTGAATAATAAATGAAAACAAATGAAAGAAAGCTTTTAAATACATAGAAAAAGCAATTATTATGCAGACTAAGCACTGTACTCATTTCTGGGATTATGAATAACAAAAATAACAAAAACCAAGTCAGTCTCTGTTCCCAAAGAGTCTACATATTAAGAGGGGAGACTACCCACATAGAGTGGTGGCTTTGAGGGGCACTTCAGCCTGGAAGGCTACAATGGTGGTAAGTGTGGGGGAGGGGAGGATCACAGAGGAGCAGATTGACATACAACATCCAAGAACTTTGTTCAGTTGTTTCAGTCGTGTCCTCCTTGACACCATTTGGGGTTTTCTTGGCAGAGATACTAAAGTGGTTTCCGATTTTCTTCTCCAGCTCATTTTACAGATGAGGCAACTGAGGCAAACAGGGTTAAGTGACTTGCCCAGGGTCACACAGCTAGTAAGTGTCCTGAGCCACATGTGAATTCAGGAAGATGAGTTTTCTTGACTCCAGGACTGGAGCTATATTCATTGTGCCACCTGGCTGCCCATAGTGCAAGAATTATGGCAGAGCAATTTCGATTGTGATTCATTGTTCCAGAAATGGAGGTGAGGGGGAAAAGATCAGAATGTGGAAAATGGTGAGGCTTATGAGAAAATGGCCAGGGAGCTGGTAGTGAAGCAAGCTGGGGCTTTCCTGAAAATAACAGTTACAAGTTAGGAAATGGGGACGCTGGGGAGCAGGCTCCAGTGCAGAAGTTCCTCTAAGCAAAGGTGCTGGCAACAAAGTGATTGTCAGTTGGCGATGGTGAAGCTGTGAAGGTGTTGGAAGAGGAGGGAATGAAGATAAAGTCCTGGGCTAAGGATCTAGACTCGGAAAGTGAAGGCTGCATATCTAAATAGGTAGAGTATGTGTATGCTCGCTCTCTCTCTCTCTCTCTCTCTCTCTCTCTCTGTGTGTGTGTGTGTGTGTGTGTGTGTGTGTGTGTATGTGTCTGCGTGTCTGCACGAGCGTGTGTGCTGGGTGTTTGTGGGCAAGAGACCTTTTCTTTCCTGGGGCCAGGGAGACAGATATGCTGAACAAGTAAGCCCCTTGTTGGAGTGGGTACTTTCCTGGCTGTGAACTAACACATTTGTGAAAAAGGAGGGGCTAGAGAGATTGGGAAGCAAAGGCGGGAATCTGAAAAGAACTCTGAAGAAAGGGTTGGGAAGGAAAACGTAGTTGCTTTCAGCTCTTCAGAGAGAAAGGTATGTTGGGTGGAAAAGCTATCTCCAGAATTTTGTTTCAGGTTGTTTTGTTTGTTCAACTTTTTCCTGGAGAGTGGGGTGAGAAGAGGAAAGGGAGGACAAATTTTTGGAAATATGGGCCGGACATTTAGAATTAAAATGCTAAAAGGCTGAAAGAGTGCTAAAAGGGAACGTAAAACAATATCACAACTGAGAGGGACCCTAGAACACAAAAATGTATGAGCTGAGAAGTGGCCCCAAGAATCCAGTTTGGCAGAGCTGGGAAGGACTTTTAGGACTTGGAATATCCAGATGAAAAAGTCACGGAATCTGATCTCTTTATTGTACAGAAAAGGGAATTGTAACTCAGGGGTGTTATTTTTGTTTGTGGTTGGGAAAATCCTAGTTTCTCTGGATCTTCCCTCTGCTGGTCAGAGGGAACAGGCATGAATGTAAAGAAAATGGAAATGAGATTTCTGGAAGTAGGGCTAGGAGATGCATCTTGAACAAAGGATTACCCAGGGAGCCATTACCCTGGGTAATGAATGAACAATGCAGAGCAAGGGTTCTTAACCGGAGGTCCCTGAATTTATTTATTTATTTTAAATTTTTATTTAGTATTTTATCTCTCCCGAGTTACATGTAAAAACTAGCTGAATTTATTTTTAAGAATATGGAAATAACTATTTCAATAGAATTGGTTTCCTTTATAATCTATGTATTTTATTTTATGCATTTAAAAACTTTATTGTGAGAAAGTTTCCATAGGCTTCACCAGATTGCCAAAAGTGTCCATGACATACACAAAAAATTAAGACCCTCTGGTAGGAGGAGTGAAATGTGGAGCTGAGAGAAGCGACTGGGTTAAGTAGGATGGTGAAAGAAAATGACAGCTAAGAAGTAGAGAACCATGAACCCAATACTTCCCACTGCTGTTTCTAGCTAACACCTAATTCTAACAGCTACTGAGTGGGGATTCATTCCCTGTAAAAGAACTAGCTGTTGGTTTCTTTTATTTATTTGTTCACTGCTCGCTTTTTTTTTTTTTTGCTCTTACTGTCCTCCCTCCGATCCTCTGTTTCCAGTCAGGTTAAGCCAGGTCTGAGCCTTGCCTTTCAGGGAGTAGATGAGCTCCAGAGCCCTAAAGATCCCGTCTTCCCCGCACGTTGGTTCCCAGAGCTAAGGCAGCCCAAATAAGGAGGAGGTCCTGCTTTGAGAAGGAGCAGAAACGGAGACATCGCCTCCTTTGGGAATTTGGAGCGAACTCCAGAAATCAGTTAGCAAAGAGAAAGCCCCTGCTGAGGGAGAACATTGGGTGCTGACTGTCACTAAGCCAATGGTGTCCCGGTTTCAGCTTCATGGCAGGACCTCAGCTCTCGCTTCGAGTAGCCACCGTCCTGACGGGGCTACTGGAATGCATCGCCTTTTCTGGGCTGATCTTTGGCTGGACCTCGCTGGTGTTCGTTCTCAAAAGTGATCACTACTTTGAGGATCTCTGTGAGCAGCCGGTTAATCAGACAAGCAATACCACAAGGCATTCAGGTAGGAGCAGTCTCTGATATGGGGGTCGGGGTCCATACGGGTCAGTGGGAATGTCTCAGATGAATGATGTTTTATGGGGAACATCTTGGTGCAGGGGGTTTGGAATCTTAGGCGAGCAGTGTAGAGGGTGGGAAGAAGTGTGACCATCTATCTCATGGTTCTGCAGTTTGATAGGTCCACGATTCTCCAGGGAGACAGAAAAGCAGTGCTCTGATAGAGTAGAATTCCCTTGAAGTCAGGGAATGTTTTGTTTTTGTTAAGTACAGGGCTTGGCACAAATAAAATGTTTAGTAAACATTTGTTAAAGAACTGATTCAAATGCCAGCTTTGGTGGACACCTTGCCTTAAAAATAGGGCATGGATTCCATTTGGCTATAGATGATAGCTTTGTGATTTTGAACCAATCACTTGACCTCTCTGAAGAGAGATGGCTTCTATTGCATGGGAAAAATGATATTTCCCCCTCATTACTGTGGGAAGCTCTAATGAAGATATTCTCAGGAAATGTGAAGCGCAAATAAAAGAGGAAGTGATATTTCTAAAGCTCCCTCTTTCCTGAACCTCCTTCCAGTCTAGTTTTAAGGTGATACTAAGAGTCTAGTTCTGGAAAGCTCTTATCTATTTTTGTTGGGGGATCAGGTCTATGTAGGTGACAATGGGTGCAGAGGCAAACTTTTTTGTTTTTGTTTTTTTGCTAAATGCAAAGAGAAAATTTTGTTAAATTTTAATATTTTATTTTTTCCAGTTACAGGTAAAAACCATTTTTAGCTTTTTTTTTTTTCCAATTTTGAGTTCCAAATTCTCTCCCACCTTCCCTGCCCCCTCCCTTCATTGAAAGGCAGGTAAATTGATAAAAGTTATACATAAGCAGTCATGCAAAACAAATTTCCATATTAGTCATGTTGTGAAAGAAAACACAAACAAAAAAATAAAATCAAGAAGAATAAAGTAAAAACAACAACAACAACAATATGCTTCAATCCGCATTCAGATTCTTAGTTCTTTCTCTGGAGGTGGATAGCATTTTTCATCATAGGTCCTTCAGAATTGGCTTAGATCTTTTTTTTTTTTTAACATTTTTAACTTTTTTTTTTTTTCCAATTTTGAGTTCCAAATTCTCTCCCACTCTCCAGGATACACTTTTCTAACAACCACACTAAATTGAGTTAAGCTGCCTTAGAAGGCAGTGACCTGTCCCAAAGGAGATAGCTGCTATGCAGTAGGAAAAGTGCTAAATGGAGTTGGAGAACCTGGATTTGAATCCTGGCCTTAACTATTGTGTGTGTGACCTGGGGAAAGTCACTTAAACTCTCTGGGTCTCAGTTTCCTCATCTGTAAAATGAGGATAATAGCATCTACCTCTTGGGATGGTTGTTGAGGCTTCATTGAGGTGATGTAAACAAAGTGCTTTGCAGACCTTAAACTGATAAAGAAATGTTAACTGTCATCCTACCTCCCAGCGCTTTGCAAAACTTAAGGTACTATATAAATGCTATGGTGATAATACTCCATTGGAGGTCTACAATCAAACATAGAGGAAGGAGATGGTGGAGAAGGGATTCCTATTCTTGTGTGGATCATGTTAGATAATCCCTAAGGTCCTTTCTAATTCTCAGAATTGGAGTTGGAGAAGAGAGAGATGTAGTAATACTTTAGCATGGGTGTGAGAGGAAGGTGTATCTAAGAATCAGAAAAGTTTTGACTCTTTAGATATTGGGGTGGAGGGAGATAGCTATGGAAAGGCCTCAATGGAACAAAGCTGTCTGGGAGCATCCTGTTTTAACTTAATTATTGTTACTTCCTAAGGTCAAAGCTCATTCTTTCTCTTACTTGCTGAAGGATACCAATGTTTTTGATTCCCTCTAAATTTTGGTACTCTGGAGAAGCATTCAATAGCCCTGCCTAGTTACAGCTCTGTATATAGTAGCACCTACTTTAAGTGACATTGACTATTCCTATTCTCTGTTTTCTAGAATGCAGCACTCAGGATTCAAAATTCTCCCTCATCTTTACCCTGGCTTCCTTCTCAAACAACTTCATGACATTCCCCTTGGGCTACATCTTTGACCGCCTTGGAACCACAGTGGCACGTCTCATTGCTATGTGAGTTCCTGGGGCCCAGGCTCCTTAAATCAGTAATTGGCTAGAGAGCTACCATATATGGCAGGAGATCTAGGCAAGAGAGGTCTGAGGAGCTGATAGCTACATAGCACTTTCTCCTCATTGCCAAATTGTAACCCTTAAAGCCTTATGCAAATTGATATCTAGAAAAGGGAACAGATTTGCCTAGAGTTGCTTAGCTATAAGTGGCTGAGCTAGGTTTCAGACTAGTGTCTCCTGATGCTAAATCCAGTGTTTTTTTCTGCTGTAACGTCCAAATCTATCTCTAACTTTTCATAAAATAGAGAATACTGTGGTGTCTTTGTCTGTCTCAAAAACAAAACAAAACAAACACCAAGCCCATGACAAACCAAGTCCTAAAATAAACGTAGTTTTGTCCCAGGGATGTTGTTCCCGTCCCCAAATGGGACTTCCCCTTTTGACGAATACAGTTAAAGCAAAGCAAAGCAGCCAGTGTTAATTTCTGAAAGTGTATGACCTATACCCATAGTCCAATACCTCTTTCCACAGAGGATTCACCAACAATCCTCTGAAGTCCTAGCGTTGAACAGAGCTCTGGAGTCTTCCTTTATATGGTGGTCATGGTGTCAATTGTCTTTCAGATTTTGGTTACTATGCTCTCCATCAGTCCATACAATCCCTTTCAAGTTTCTCCAAATTCTTCATATTTGTCATTTCTTACGTAACATTATAATGCATTCCACTAATTAATCTACTATGATCTGTTACACTGTTTCCCAGTCTCTCCCTTTGCTGTACCTACATCTGCCATCAAGACAACCAGAATAACCCCATTTGCCTTCTTCCTGGTGGGGATTATTAGAGTGTTTCTGGTCTTGTTACAGGGAGGTGAGAAATGTGCTTTGGAGTCATAAGAGCTCACATTTGTTTATTGACTTAAAGCTTACAATGTCCTTCCCTCCCAAGAACTGGTGAGGCAGACAGTAAAACTGATACTGCCTACATAAGAACCCAGTCACAGAAGTTCAATGACCTACCCAGACTCACATAACTCATACATTTCATTGCTGTGCCTCCAGCCTAGATTTCTTTTTATTTCTTTTTCTTTTTCTTTATTTTTATTTTTAGGCAATCGGGATTAAGTGACTTGCCCAGGGTCACACTGCTAGTGTGTGTTATGTGTCTGAGGCCGAATTTGAACTGAGGTCCTCCTGACTTCAGGGCCGGTGCTCTATTCACTGCTAACTGCCCCCCAGTCTAGATTCCTTGGGTCAAAAATCAGGGCTTCTTCCACTGAACCCCACTACCTAGAAACACCCTGACTGATCTTCCGACTACTTGTTGTTAGGTTTTTTTTTTTTGCTTTGTTTTTAGTGTGAAAGAAACCCCCTTTCTATCCATTCATGGTATGTTCTATTCCCAAGATTGTAAACTACTTAGGGCCCTCTGGAAAAACAGCCAGACCTCTTGATCCACTTTCTCTTTCCTCCCATTCTCTTTAATCACCTCATTTTAAATTTCCCTTATTTCTACCTGATTGCCCCAAGTCTTTTTGGTGGGCTGACTCTTTAAACCTTTTTTCTTTCCTCCCTCCCTTCCCCCAGGCTGGCAGCTTTCACATTACCTAGATCTTCTACAGCCAGGGAACTGAAGAGAAAGGAATCTCTCTTGCCCATCTTCTGAACAACAAAAAGAAAAAAAAACCCAACCCCAAATAACAAAAAAGCGGGCCCCAAGCAGGGAATATACAGTCACTTCATTCTTTCACGGTGGGGCCGGAGCATTCTCTTTTGACAAGTCCCTTCTCCTATTCTGTATTTCAGATTTCTCTATTCAGGGGCCACGCTTCTTGTAGCTGTCTCCTCTGCAGGTGAGTACCAACAGAATAGAAGAGAGCAGGATGCTTGGCACGCAACCAAAGGAATAAGCCTTTTTAAGCACCTACTGTGTGCCACACACTGTGCTAAGTTCTTTACAAATGTTGTCTCATTTGATCCTTACAACACTGGGATGTAGATGCTATTATTATTATTATTATTATTCCCTTTTTACAGTTATGGAAGGCAGCTAGGTGGTGCAATGGATAAAGCACCAGCCCTGGAGTCAGGAGGACCTGAGTTCAAATGTGGCCTCAGACACTGGACCCTTACTAGCTGTGTGATCCTGGGCAAGTCACTTAACCCCAATTGCCTCACGAAAAACCACCCAAAATCATACAGTTGTGGAAACTGAGGAAGACAGTGATTAAGCAACTTGCCCAAGGTCCCAAAGCTAGTAAGTGTCTGAGCCTGTCTTCTTTCAGACTCCAGGCCCAGCGCTCTCTACTGTTTCGCCTACCTGCCTCTAGTAAGCAGGAGTATCTTTGTCCTTCTTTTTCCCTCTTCAGGGAGGTTTCTTCAAAATATCCCAGAGTGTGTGGGAAGCCCCACACTTCTTAAATGGAGGACTGTCAGCAGGGCAGAACACCTGGGGGTGGTTAGCCTGGGGTGGATATGGAAAAGTCACCCTTAGTCTTCAGGGCAGGGAGAGAAGCAGATTGTTGTTGATTGTTGTTAGAGAGAGAAGGGTGCAAGACTAGCTAACTGTGGAATTATGGGGCAAGGACTAAAACTCCTATTAGAGGTCAAGGAAAGGAAGGAGTGAGGTGGGTTTCCTGGAAGTGCAGTAGCATAGGGTAGCTCGAAGACTGGGGAAGTTCTAGATCTAAGGTCTATTTGAATCTGGGTCTGTGGGTTTGCTGTTCCCTCAGGTAAAGGAGAGGGCAGCAGAAATGAACTGAGCTGGAAGCTCCTGTGACCTCTGTCTGTTCTTTCCAGGCACAGCACCGATGCTCTTTGCGGCCTTCCCAATGCTCGCTGTTGGAGGCATTTTGTTTCTGCTTACCAATTTGCAGGTGTGCCCTCACCCCGCTGCTCTTTTCCCTGAAAGTAAGGGAGGAGAGGGAAGGAACAAGGAAAAAGGAAGAAGCAGCAACTTCCCAAACTGAGCTCCCACAGCTGTGACCCACAGGGGTTAGAGCTATTCCTGCCTAGGCCTCCTGTCAGGAACTGTGTTCAAGGAACATGTTTTGTGTATGTAGGTCCATATTAATCGCTTGTTGGTTATCCATCCTCCAGGTGGGGAACTTGTTTGGCAAACATCGATCTACCATAATCACTCTCTACAATGGGGCGTTTGACTCCTCCTCTGCCATCTTTCTCATCATTAAGGTACTTTTATTCCTCCCTTCTCCCCTCCCTCCACCCTATCCTTGAAACACTTTCAGAGAGAGGCTGACCAGAGTGGCAGGCACTTTCTTTCGGGGACTTGTGGCATTTCCTCGTTTATTTTATTTTATTTTATTTTATTTATCAATTTATTTATTCATTTACTTATTCATTCATTCCTTCATCTATTTATTTATTTATTTGCCATAGAATGGAGCTATTGGTCAGACTTGTCATTTTTGTAACCTCCCTTGTGATGCCCGTTTCTTCTCTTAGCCTCCTAATTGATTCCTGGATTCCATTCCTTCTCTTCTTTCATCCATCTTTTGATTTGACCATATCACCTCCTTGCCCATGAAACTTTCATGACTACCTATTACCTCCAGGATGAAATAAGACAGGAGGAAGTCCTTGGCCCTATAGCTAGTGTCATGCCCATCTATCTTTCCAGGCACCTTGCACATTAATCACCTACTCTCCCAGCCAACATGGCCTGTTTGGGTCCTTATCTCCCTCCTCTGTGCCTTTGCATGGGATGTGTTAAGGCTTAGCTCATGGACTTTCTTCTTTAGGAAGCCCTCCCTGCTCCTCTTATTTTTTACCTTCCTCTTCCCCCAGTCATGTATATATTTATCTGTATACCTGCTGTATGTCCTACCCCCACCCCATAGAATATAAGCTTCTTATGGATAGGAACCATTTTTTCTCTATATCCCTAGAACCTGACATAATGCCTTGTACACACAGTAAGCACTTAATAAATGCTGGATTGGATTCACAGACAAAATGAGCTCATTGAAGTTAATGTAGGTTCTGAAGCAATCACTCAGACTGAGTGCATAGGTTAGAAGTCATTGAGGTTGACCAGGGACAGAATATAAGGGACTATATGGTCACAGAACTGGAAGGGACTTTAGAAGCTAGCTGCTTCAACCTCTGTTTGACAGATAAGGAAACTGAGGCCTGGGAAAGCTAAGAGACTTGCTGTCAGATGTGGAATTTGAATCCAGATCCAACCCTTTGACTTAAGGGCTAGCGGTCCATCTGCTATCCCACATTGAGATTTAACTCCACATGGCTGCTGTCTTCCAAGTCATCAGCCTGTGTTGCCCTGACATTGCTGTGCGGTCCTCACAGATATGAGGAGGGCTCCTAGGAAACTCCAGACAGACATGCACACAATCTAGTCCCATGGTGCTCCTGAGCCTGAGAAGTCACGGGCCATCCTACATTCTTCTTACCTGAGGAAGACAACATTATATAGAATGTGTGTGTGTGTGTGTGTGTGTGTGTGTGTGTGTGTAGGTTTACATATATACATATGTAAAGATGTATGTTGTTGTTTGGCTGTCTTTAAGTCATGTCCAAGTCTTTGTGATCACATTGGGGTTTTCTTGGCAAAGATGCTGGAGTGGTTTGCTACTTTCTTCTCTAGGTCCTTTTACAGACGAGGAACTAAGACAAATAGGATGAAGTGACTTGCCCAAGGTCACACAGCTAGGAAGTGCCTGAGGCTAGATTTGAACATCTACCTAGCTGCCCCTATATATGTATATGTATACATGTACACACACATACACATATGTGTGTGCATGTATATCTATCTAGCTATATCTCAACATGAACACCAGGTCATTTGGGGAGGTAGGGCATTAGCATCTTGAAGGAATTGGGAAAGACTTCATGTAGAAGGTGTTTGAGCTGGGTTTTGAAGGATGATAGAGAATCCAAGAGACAGAGTGGAGGAGAGAGCATATTTCAGGTGTGTTTGTATGTGTTGAGTAGGGAGGGAAGGTGGTCAATGGGGATAGCCACTGTAAATGCTCAGCAACAGAACATGGACATTTTGCCCGTGAAGAACAGTAAAAAGCCTGGTTTGGCTGGCCATGGTTCTCTTATTTTCCTTCTCTTGTCACCTTTGCCCCTTGGCATCTGTTAACAATGCTGACTGAGCTCTGTAGGTAAAGCTCTTAGGACTCAGAAATGTGCTGACTTCTTCAGGACCAGACCCAGCTCTCAGCCCAACTGAAGTCAAAGGATCATAGAGTCGGATGATATGTTAGAGACAATTGAGTCCAATCCTCTTCTTTGACAGACGAAGAAATTGAAACCAAGGAAGGTTAAGTGATGTGCCCAGGGGTCACCTAGCTAATATGTTTTTGAGGCAGTACTTGAACTCTGTTCATCCCGGCTCCAAGTGAAACACTCACCCTTTTCAGAATTCTTGCATACCTGTTTAAAATGGTGCTCTAGCTTAAGGTGTGACCATTTGCCCACCGCCATGGTAGCAGGGTCACAGAGAAAGTCAAACATAAAGAACTAGGACTTGGGCAGGATGCCTAGAATCTAGTTTCAGTTTTCCCATTAATTACCTAGCTATATGACCTTGGATAAATCATCTCACTTCTCTATTCTCAGTTTCCTCATTAGTGAATTGAAGAGATGGAACTGAAATGATTTCCAAGGTCCCTTCCAACACAAGCATTCTATGTTCCATGGGCCTTCCTGTTCTGACATTTTATTTTTCCAAGATTTCTTTCAGTTCTTAATAGTCTGTTCCAAGGTCTCTTTCATCTTGCAAACTGTGTGATCTTTTCCTTTTTTTGGTTGGGCAGTGGGGTTAAGTGACTTGCCCCAGGGTCACACAGCTAGTGTTATGTGTCTGAGGCCAGATTTGAACTCAGGTCCTCCTGAATCCAGGGCCGGTGCTCTATCCATTTAACCTTTTTGGCCTCAGTTTCCTCATCTGTAAAATGAGAGGGTTGGACTAGATGGGTGCCCTCCAGCTTCAGGTCTCTGAATCTAGTCCATTCTAAGATTCCTTCCACCCAGTGATCTAATTATAAGAGACTCTTAAAGTGTCTCTTTTAAAGCCCAGAGAGATAAAACTAATGGTGGAATTTCAGGCACCATGGCAGATATGTGTGTGTGTGTGTGTGTGTGTGTGTGAGTGTGTGTGAGTGTGAGTGTGTGTGAGTGTAAGGTAAGGAAGAGATTATTGGGTTCCAAAGGGCTCTGCCAAGACCTTTCCCTCAATCCTGAGGAGATGGATATTAGATCATGAAGCTGGCTCTGGCTCATACAATGGATGTCCTCAAGGCAGCCATCCCCAAGACATCAGGTTGAATGAGCCTCTGTGTTAGAGTCCTACAGCTTTGTTGACCTACTGCTCTTCTTTCTATAGCTTCTCTATGAGCGGGGCCTGACACTCCAAATCTCCTTCTTCATCCTCTGCACCTTTAGCATCTGGCATCTCATCCGTACTTTCTTCCTCATGCCTAGGGGGCACATACCCTTTCCATTGCCATCCAACTACAGCTATGGGTAAGGAATAGCCTTTACTCTAGGCAGAGTCACCTCTTGGGTTCTGATGGGGGAAAGGACAGAGGTTGAGGCCAACATTACTACCCCAAGGCACTGAGACTAGGTCGGGACAGGTGGTGGAGGGGTGGGGGATGGGAAATGAGAAACAAAGCTATCTCACATTATAGCATGTTATCCTGGCTAGAATCCCATACCCTGCCCCCCCCACCTCGGAACACAGGATTTCTTTTAGGGTTGCCTGTGGGCTCCCCCAACCCCAATGGAATGTTATCTACTTCAAGGCAGGGACTATTTGTTGTGTTCCTACCCCCAGTGTCCAGTAGAGTACCTGGCACATTTGTGGGTGTTTGAGACATGTTGAAGAAAACTTAACTGTGCTCTGGGGACTGGGTAGGGCCACCTCTTTCCTCAGCATTGACTGTTCAAGGGGAGCTGATAGATCCCAAGAAACAAAAGATGAAGAAGTCAGGAAGGAAAAAGTGGAATTAAGTCAGGAAGCCAATGCCCCCTCCCCAGATGTTCAGCAAGGTAAGCCTCCAAGCCCCTCTTTCTATCATCTGCTTTCACTCCGTCTCTGCCTTTCCCTTTAACCTGGTCATCCTCAGGGTCAATGCAGATTTCATTGCCCTTCTCAGAAGTCCATGTCTCATTGAGACCCCTTTCTCTAGCCCCTCCAACACTACTTTTTAAATCTTTTTCTTGCCATCTGTTTTTGAATAACTTTCATTTTCAGATATCTCTCTCTCTCTCTCTCTCTCTCTCTCTCTCTCTCTCTCTCTCTCTCTCTCTCTCTCTCTCTCCCCTCCCCTCTGTTCCTTAACAAAGAATGAAAGAAGGGAGCAGTGGGGAGGGGGAGGCAACTCAGCAAAACTACTCAGTACATCAGCGGAGTCTGAGAGTATGAAGTGTTTCACACTTTTAGTTCCCTACTTCCACAAAGAAGAAGTTGTCATCCAATGTCTATTGACACTAATGCAAAGTTGATAATCCCTGATTTCCCTCCCCCCCATCTAGTCTATATTTTTCTTCCTCTTGATCCTACTCATCTATTCAACAAATACTTACGATTAATAATTACAGCATAGTCTAGTAGAGGAGGCTGACCTTAAAGTAAGGAAGATGTAGGTTCAAATCCTGCATAATGCATTATGATTATTATTATTAGTTAACATTTATACAGTGTGTCTAAAAATCAGTAGTTTTAAGCTTTAAAGCTTAAAGCTGAGAGCTTGAAGATTCAGACTTTTTAGGACTCCCTATATTACATCTTGAGGTTTTCAAATTGCTTTATATATATGCATATGACACCTAATAGATATACATTTATTTAAATTTATGTGTATATCATCTAATGCTGCATAGTACCATGTGAAATAGTTGCTACCGCTCTTATTATTCCCATTTTACATGTGAGGCAAATGAGGCTTAAAAGCTATGTGATTTGCCTTTGGTCATGTGGTCTGTAAGGAGCAGAGGCTGGATTTGAACCTAGATCCAGGACTATTTATTCCACCCTGCTATACAGGGAAATCACTTAACCTCTCGGTGTCCCCAGGCAATTTTCTAGGTTTTTAAACATTATCAGATTACGAGGTTAGTTGATTTTTAGGACAGAGAGCTTGACCTTGGGAAGACCTGGGTTTGAATCCTGCCTCAGACAGTATTAACTTTATGTTCCTCAGCGGTAGTAATAGCAAACTCAAGGTATGGTGAAGGTCAAAGGAGATAATATGGGAAGCATTTGGCAAATCTTAAAGCACTATGTCAGTGTGAGCCAGCTAGTATTAGACCCTTAAACAGTAAAGGAGTTGCCTTCTGTCTGCCTTAGAGAGGCTGTCCATCCCGGGAGTTCTCCATGATGGCGATTAGAGGTCTTGGACCAAACAAGAGAAAAACCATTTCTCTAGCACTTTTAGGCTAACATAATGCTTTCCTTACAGCAATCCGTGAGGCAGGTGGTTGGCATATTTTTTTAAAAACAATTTTAAAGATGAGGGAAATGGGTTCAGAGAAGGTTAAAGGACTTCTCCATGATCACCCAGTTTATAAATGTTAGAGAAGAGTCTGAACCCAGGTCTCATGATTCCAAGTCAAATACTTTTGGAATACTCCCTTATAGCCCCTTTTGAGCACTCATTATGGGAAGCCTCTCAAGCCAGGCCCTGGGGGCAGGCAAGATTAAGACAAATTTTCGTACTTCAGGAGTTTAGGAGGATGAATGGCAAACAAAAGACAGGATTCACTAAGCACCAGGATGCTGCTAGGTAGAGCACAGAGCACTGGTCCCGGAGTTACAAAGACTCGTCTTCCTGAGTTCAAATCTAGCCTCAGACACTTACTGTGACCCTGGGCAAGTCACGCAATCCTGTCTGCCTCAGTTTCCTCATCTGTAGAATGAGCTGGAGAAGGGAATGACAAACTACTCCAGTATCTTTGCCAAGAATATTCCAAATGGGGTCACAAAGGGTCAGACATGACTGAAAATGACTCAACAAGACAATACTAAGTGCCATGAGAGTAATAAATGAAGGACTATGGGAATTCCAAAAGAAAGGCCACTTCTGGATGGGAGCATCAGAGAAACTCGTGGAGGAGGTAATATTTTTTAACGAAGAGATATTCAAGTGGGGAAAGTTTTACAGGCAGAGGGACCCCTCAGTGGGACCCTGTTTGGCTTTGGAAGCCATATTTTAGGATAGATATTGCCAAGGTGAAGCCCATTCATGGTAGAGTACTAGAATAGTGCGATGATAGGAAGATCAGATTAAGAAACTAGGCATGTTTAATGTGCAGGAAGTGAGCTAGGAAGAGGCAGGGGGAATATAATGGCTGCCTTCAAATATTTGCAGGGCTGTCTTTTAAAAGATGAAGGAGGCTCATTCTGTTTGACCCCAGAGGGAAGTATTAAGAACAATGAAGAAGTGGAAGTTTCATAAAGAATGATTTAGACTCATTGTAATGAGAATCTTCCTAACAATGCCAGCCACTCCAAAATGGCCTGGCATTGTCACTGTATGGAGTGACTGAGCGCCTGATTGTGAGTCTTTAAGTGGTACCAAGAGCGCTTGGGGTTGAACTACCTGGCCTCTGAGGGCCATTCCAACTCATAGGATTCACAATGATGAATAGCTTCTCGTTCATTTGGACGCAAAGGATGAGCACAGGGTAAAGTAATGTGAGGAATGGCTGGGTGGGTGGATAGAGGATCATAGATTTAGAGCTGGAAGGGGTCTTAGGAGCCATCTATTCTAACCCCCTCCTTTATAGCAGGGGAAACTGAGGCACAGAGAGGCTCAATGACTTGTCCAGGGTCACACCAGCTAGTAAGAGTCTGAGATAACTTCTTGACTCCAAGTTCAGTGGTCTATCTGCTATACCACCCCATGCCCTATTGGGGCCTACCTGTGGATTATAGGTAATAGTAATAGCTAACATTTGCATAGAATTTTAAAGTGTGCAAGGTTTTTTACATAGGTTATCTCATTTGATTCTCACAGAAATCCTGTGAAGCAGGTGCTATTATTATCCCCATTTTACAGAAGAGGAAACTGAGGCAGGGGGAGATTAGATGATTTGACCAGGGTCATTCAACTGGAGTATCTGATGCAGGATTTGAACTATAGTCTTCCTGAATGCAAGTCCAGTGCTCTGTTCACTGCCGTACCTAGTTGCCTGTCATTACAGGTTCCCCTGTTGCTCAGTCTCTGGCCATAACCTCTCCAGATTTCCATCTTCTCTGTTCCTTGTAGTCTTTCCTTCTCCTCCCCTCTCCCCAACCATGTCAGGGTTCTTTTTTCCTCATCAGAGACAGCCAGGACTGACAAGAGTGATCCTCGCTCTTTCCGGGGCTGTGTGCTCTCTTGGAGATTCTTTTGGCACTTGGTCTGGTTGTCTTCGATGCAACTATGGCACTACCTCTTCATTGGGACCCTCAACCCCATGCTGAACAGTCTGGCCCGTGGAAACCAGCATCTAGGTACTTTCCTGGAGGGCAGAGGAGGGGCTTTTGGGCCTAGTGTGTGTGTGATGGGGAGATCTCATTGGTCCAAGCTCTGATGCCAGCAAGGGAAGTGGAATCCAATGGAAATCTTATTTCTTTAGATCACTAAGGTTTCCAAAGTACTTTCCTTGAAAAGATCATAGGAAGTAGGCACTACAAGGATTATCCTTGATTTGCTAATGACAAAAAAGGTCCATGGACCATAGGGTCACAGACTTAGAGTGGGAATAGATGGGAAATCGTTGAGCCCAATGCCCTCATTTTGTACAGATTGAGGGAAGAAATTCATTGCTGAGAGGCTCACACAACTAGTGAGTGCCTGAAGTGGGATTTGAATCCAGGTTTTCTGACTTCCAAGGCCATTGCTTTATCTACTACACTGCACTGCCTTTCAGTGAGGTTGGATGACTTGTTCCTGATCCCTTAGTGGCTGGAATTGGAAGCTGTATCTCTTGGCACAGCCAGCATCTTTCCATTATGTGAGGTCAGCCCGCTTGGGGCAGAATGTCCTTACTAGAGATCTGCAAGGAACGCTAGCCGACGGGAAGAAGGCCCTGGATTTTTAGCCCTGCCTCTGCCACTGACTCACTGGTCATTTTGGACAAGTCATTCACCTTCTCTGGGCCTATTTGCTTTGCCTGCACAGCATTGGAATAGCTGACCTTATCATCACCATCAGCAATAGCAGGCACTTGTTAAATTTTTAAAAAGGACTGAGCCTTCCTTTCTCACCCAGACTGGAAATACAGGGGACTGTGCATGGGCCTAATCCCTCTCTCATCAGCATGGGAGCTTTGACCTACTCCATTTTGGACTTGGGCTAGTTCTCCTCTTTGGGCAACCTGGTGGTTTCTCCCATCCCACCCCAATGGCTCACCACATTGACTTAGTGTGTTTAGTATCCGATCGGCGTAATCCATTGTAGTTTCGAACTCCCAAGCTCAGGAGATCCTTTGCTTTCAGCTTTCCTGCTAGCTGGGATTACAGGCATGTAACACTATGCCTGGCTTTTGTTAAGCATTTCTTAAGTGCTTACTATGTTCCAGACACTGTGCTGAAGCACCATGGATACCAAGAAAGGCCAAGAAAAAAATGAGTTTGGAGTGGTAGAACAAGGGCAGGTAGGGGTAGACTAGACATTCCTCTACTCAGATCTGATTCTTTTTTCTTTACCACAACCCTTTAACCATTACAGTCAGCACCTATACAAATGCCTTTGCCATCACTCAGCTCTTTGGAGTGCTGTGTGCCCCCTGGAATGGATTCCTGTTGGATGGCATTAAGAAAAAATTCCAGCAAGAGGCAAGAAAAAAAGGTGAGACCCTCCAGGGCCCTGGAACCCATTCTACAAGTTTGTTTCCTTCTGTCTACCTTTTTCATTGTTTTGCCTCCTTTCCCTCCTTCCTAGAGCCAAAAATTAGTAATTTTAGTGTCTTTGATAAATTGTAATACACATTCAGTGGGACAGTAGGGTTGGGAAGAAAGAGACCTAAGAGATGAATGACTTCTGATTTCAGGATATAAAGTTACATGGGTGGAGAGGACCAAAATCTGCTTCATGCTAGTGACAGAGTTAGCCCATTGGCAGGACACCATGATGCAGGAAATGGGAAAGAGAAGAGGCCAACCTGGGGGAAGAGATAGCCTGGGGAGTGGGGAAAGAAACTAACAATTTGGTTAGTTTCTTGATTTACTTGCTTAAAGAATGTTGTTTTACTTGCTTAAATGCACCATTGGCAGTACAAAGGCTGTTGCCCCTGACCTCTACTCTCCAGATCTTGCTCTTCCCCTCAAGGTTCCTCCCTACCCCACTTTTTCCCTTTCTCCTGAGCCCTTCCACCTTCCACCTTGTGCCCCTGCCTCTACCTTCACTCTGACTTATGCTAGGATCTCTTCCCGGACCAGGTTTTCCAGAGTCTATGGCAGACCTTCACTCTACCTTCCCATCCTTGACTGTGACATCCTTGTTGTGCCTCAGTTTCTCCATCTGTGCCACTATTCCCATTCTTAAACTCCAGTATTTCACCTTCATCCTGCAAGTTATCAGTCGGTCTTTCCTGTATGGAGGGAATGCTGCCTTCATCACTCTGGCGTAAGTGGGGCTAAGGCAAGGAGGAGGGAAGTGTATACATGTGTGTGTGTGTGTTCTAGGGCAAAGGGGGAGATATCCATTCTAGCCCCTATGAAATCAGCCCAAAAGATGGACAAAAGATAAAGAAGAGAGGAGGGAGTTAGATGATTAATGATTGGCTTTGGAACTGGATGAATGTGGACAACCAAGGAGTAGTCAATAACAGTTGCAGTGTTAATTTTAGATAGAGATCTTCAGTGGAGTGCCCTAAGAATCTATGCTCACTTCTCTGCTGCTTGATGTTGTTATTAATGACTTGAATAAGTCCATTGCTTGGCAAGCATTTAAGTATTTACTATGTGCTAGGGTGTCTAGGGTGTGCAGAGAGGACTAGAACTTCTAGTGTGAGGGTTTGCTGAGCTCCTCAGGGCTGCTCACCTACCTCTGGCGTCACTTGGCTCTCGCCTGTGGCTCCAAGAAGCTGTAGAATGCACAACAGCCACACTCCACTAAAACTGTCTCGGCAGAGGGGCTAAACCAGATGGATGGTAACCAATAGGCCTCAAAGCCATCGGTGAGTTAGGATTGTCTACTCCCGAGCACGTAAAGACTTCCCCTGGGGGAATGGGCGGATGAGAATCATTTGTTCCAGTGGTCACGAAGCTGGCTCTGTGGAGCACTTAGAGCTTGGTTACACACCAAAGACACCAAGCTCATCCACTGCATCCCCTGGATCACCAGTTCTCTTGACTTTTCTCCTGCCACTGGACTTTGATGACTCTGGAAGAGAGAGTGAGGCTGGTGACTTTGTGAAATTCTGCCTCACATCCAATCCGTGTGCAAGTCAAGACATCACTTCCTGATGTCACTGGTCCTCTTCAACAACAATAGACACTGGGCACACACAAACGAGTGAAAATGAGCCTGCTTTGAGAGAGCTTGTGTCTTTATTGAGTTTGCAGGAAAAGCTTGACAAGATAGAATGTTGGGCTGCATCCGATAAGCTAAAACTTATGGGAGTAGATTAGACCTGTGATTTTGTTATGACAAGCTCCCACGTGAAGTGCTACCAGTGCAGGTTGGCACCTCCACAACTTAGTCCTAGAGAATTGGCTAGGGGTACTAAGGTTAAGTGAATTAATTGCTCAGGATAAAATAGCATATATATCTATATATCATATGTAATATATACACACACACATATGCATATGTGTGTGTGCACATATACCTATAAGACACATATACATGTGTAAATATATGTGTGTATAGAGACTTGAACCTGGATCTTCCTGGCTTCAAAGCCAGCTCTTTCTCAAGTATGCTTCTTACCCCACCAAGATGAAACAATAGAGGTCAATGAAAAGCTTTTCACTTGAGTTGAAAAAAAAAACATTTGAGCTTTAAGAATAACCTGAAGGTAATTGTGCCTACAGCAGTTTTTCTGATTAAGATTTGGGGGCTTAAGTGCACTTTAAGCTGGAGAATTGCTGGCTTGATATAACTATCAAGAAAGGTACAACGAATCCCAGGGAGATATAAGGCTCGAGACCAGGAAGACGGCCATTGGATATTATTCTGTTCTGGTTAGACATCTGGGGTTCAGTTCTTGGTGCCACATTTTGGGACTGATGTTAGTCAGCTTGAGGGCAACATAGATGATAAAGGATCTTGAGGTCCTGCCATGGGACAATGGTTTGAAAGAACCAGGATGGTTAGCCTAAAGAAGAGAAGATTAGTTCTTAAAGTACTTCGAGTATCTATCTAAGTAAGCATTCTTAAAGTATCTGTCATGTGAAAGGGGACTCCAACCTGGTCTGCTTGGCCACAGAGGGCAGAACCAGGAGCAATGATTGAAGTTGCAAAGAGGTGAATTTGACTCGAGATCAGGAAAAATGAGCCTTTGAGGTTGTGAGTTCTCCCTCCCTGCGGGTCATCAAGCCAGAAGTGAGATACTTACTTGATAGGAGTGATAAAGAGAAGAGATCCTATTTGGCTGCTCTGAGTTCTCTGGAGGGAAGTAAGTGCAGGAGGCTGGAGGTCACTGGAAATGGACAGCTGGAGCTGGGAAGATGGTGAGATGATAAGATCTGGAGACAGAGGACAGGGGCCATAAGGTAAAAGGAAAGGAATGCTAGGGAGGCCAGACCTGGTATTTGTTCTGGCTCTGCCATTCACTAAGTGATTTCCTTGGAAAAATCTCTTGACTTCCCTGACCTCCAGTTTCCTTCTAAAATGAAGATCATCCTGGCCCACTTGCCTCATAGGGTTATAGGGAATTTCAGTCAATAGAATGGGTAGTGTACTTGGTAGTGAGAAGATGTTGATAATGTCACTGGCACCTTTTATTACTGAAGGTTAGTCATCTTCAGAAGGTTGGCTAATGGACATTTTTTTTCCACTTCATCTTTTAAAAACTTCTTATAAGGGAAGGAATTAACTTAAAAAAATTTTTTTTTGGGTGGGGAGGCATGATAATTCAAAGACCCTACAGTCGCATATGGATAAGCTATATTGTACATTGATAGAGATGGAATCTGCTCTGAGAAAATTACCCACCCTGGCATTGGAGCTACTTTAGTGGATCAGCAAGGGAACCCTGGCACCAGAGGACCAGCGTTCAAGTCTTGATTCAATTACTTATACTGTATGGCCCACTGTCTCTCTGGGCCTCAGTTTTGTTTTTTTGTTTTGTAAAATAAGCAGATTGAACATGGCAATTTCATCGGTCCCTTCCATTTCTACAATCCTGGGATTCTGAGCCTGGAGGAAAAAGACCAGGAGAACAGGGCAGTAAGGAACATAGGCAAAGCCTGAGTTACTGGGAAGCCCCTAGAGTGGGAGGGGCAGGATGATTCACTGGGCACATCCATGTTTCTCCACAGCTTTCCTTCCCAACACTTTGGGAAGATCTATGGGACAGCCATGATGTTGTCAGCACTGATCTCACTTCTGCAGTTTCCCATCTTCATCTTCATCAAGGGGCCACTCCAGGGGGACCCTACTTATGTAAGTACCATGCCTGTGGCTACCCCTCCCTCACCCTACATGAGAAGGCCTGGCGCCTGGGAAGAGGATGCCCAATAAATGAGAGGAGGGGGAAGATGGGAGAAAAAAACTGATTTTGTGCTTATTGTCTGTAGTGCAAGGGGCTTTTCAGGAGTTCCCCATGAGGGACTGTGGCTGGGGGCTTCCTGGATTAGCAAAGGAAGTCAAAAAGGTAGCTCTGTGTAGCAGAATGCTTGCTGGGTTTAGACTCAGGACCTGAGTTTAAATCCTATTTTCACCCCTTATAACCTGTGTGATTTTGGGCAAGTCACTTAAGCTCTCAGTGCCTCAGTTTCCTCTATTGTAAAATGAGATGTTTAGATTCTATGACCTCTAATGTCCCTTCTAGGTTTATGTCCATGTTCCCAGGACACAAGAAGGCTTATAAACTCAACCCTGGGTGGGTGGGGAACTAGAAACTTTTTATTTAAGTCCATCTTATAAACAAAATATGATCCATCTGGTAAAACCAGAGGACTTGCACTGAGACAAACTTCTTACCATGTGCTTTATCTGGCAATAGCCAAAGAGTGAGAGGCAGAAAATCCAGATTAAGGCCTCTCTCTGCCATTAATCAGCTAATGATATTATGCCCATGATGCCGGAACCAGTATGGTCCTCTGTTTCCTCATCTGTCCCATGACAGAATTCTCTAACTAAGAGAGGCTTGCCTGCCTTGCTGGTCTCTCCTGAGGCTGAAATGAGATTACAGAATCCAAACTGTCAGCAGCCTTCCGAGGTCATCTGGCCCAAGCCTTTCTTTTTATAGGTGAGAGAAACTATCTAGGCCTCAGGTAAATAATTCCTTTAAGGTCACAAAGGGCAAAGCCAGGATATGCAACCAGTGTTCTTTCCATTCTATGCTGCCTTCATTTCTCAAAAGTGCTTTGTAGAAGTTCACACGTCCCTGGAGTCTCATTTAGATGCCTCCCTAAGAATGCTGATGCTTAGTAAGCCTCTCTGGGAGTCAGAAGATCTGTTGACATTTCATGCTTTAACAACCAGCTGTGTAACTTTGAGTGAGTTGCTTCCTCTCTGTACATGGGAAATGGAGGGATTGGACTAGCTGGGATTGTGGAGGCTGGTTCTGGAGTCCGAGGTCTTAGATTTGAATCCCACCTCTCATGTTTAATACCTGTATGACCTTTAGTAAGTCAGTTCATCATCACGGGTCTCAGTTTCCTCCCCTGTCCAGTAAGGAGGCTGGATTATATGATCGAGGTGGTCCTTTCTAGCCCTCTAAGCTTATTGACCAGTTGCTATCCACATTCCCTTTTAGCCCTTAACATTTTGTAATGAGCAAGGAACCCAAAATATGGAATGATAGATATAGGTGAGCTAAGACACAGCCATAACTAGAATCCCTACCACTTGGAGGTAGTAGCACACACACTGTATCAGAGGAAAGTAGCCCTCAGATCAACTTCAAAGATAGATTCAGATTGGAGTGGGGAGATTTCAGAACACAAGGTCCTACAGGGAAGGAAGAGAGACAGCCTGGGTCACACAGGCTGGCTGTGAAAGAGGGATTAGGGTAAGGTGAGAGAAGAGAACTCACTTGGAGTGGGGAGGAAATATGCCCTCAGAGTTTCCTGTTTTAACCAATCAGATGCTCAGTTGTTCCTACCCGCTAGAGCACAAATGCTGTTAGTGCCCTCCAAATCTTGGTGCTCATGGTAAAGCCCTTGTTACTTCGCCCTGGTGATTGCTTTGGCTGAGGTGGTCCTGCAACGACGTTCATTATGCCCTCTCTTCTCTCACAGGTAAACATCGGGCTGATACTGTTCACTCTCCTCTCTTTTGTCCAGCCCTTCCTCTTGTCTAGGCAGTGGCGACACCAGGAAAAACAAGTGTGATGTTCTATGCTTCTTTTATTCCCCTTTCTTCCAGCTCAGAGATTCATAGTAATGCAATTTACTGTCTTCCCTACCCCTTCCTCTGCATGAGTTACTACTGAGCCTTCTTACAAGCTGTGAAGGAGGGGGTAAGGATGTACCTAGAAAGGCATTTTCCCTAAGCTGAGGATATTATCTGCCATGGGACAGACAAGATCATGGCTTATTTTTTAAAAAATGTTTTTGCACAAAAAATAAAAAAAAAATGTGTGAACACCAGTGCCTGCAAGCTTGTCTGGGAAGCATTTCTTTATGTTTTAGGATGGTGGGTTGGGGCTGACAAAGGTCTACTCAACTTGAAGAATGGTCTGGTGGGTAGAATCTAGTTGTAGAAGCAAGAGGATCCATTGGTTATCGGGCAACTGGGTCACTCTACTAGGTAGGGGCCCAAACTCCAAGGCTGAGTTCCAGGTCAAATGATTTGCAGCCTCGAGGACATATGTGGCCCTCTGGGGCCTTGGGTGTGGCCTTTTAACTGAGCCCAAGTTTTCCAGAACAAATGCTTTTATTAAGGGGATTTGTTCTGTGAAGTTTGGATTCAGCCAAAGGGCAGCACTTGAGGACCTAGAGGGCCACATGCGGCTTTGAGGCCACAGGTGAACTAGACTAACTAGGCTAAGTTAAGCTTCATGAAGGGACTTTGTCTTAATCTTTGTTTCTTCCTTCAACATGAGTCCAGTAAGCAAGTCATTCAATTCAAGAAGCACCTACTAGGTCTGAGGCCCTGAGCCAGGTGCTGGGGCATATAAGGGCAAAGCAGGCAATTGGTCCTCATCTGTAAGGAGCTCATGTTCAACTGGAGGATTCATCATGGAACCTAGGTAAGTGAATGGAAGGTAGTTTGAGGAGGGACAGAGCCCTAACCCCTAGGGGCGCAGGATAGGCTTGCTGGAGGTGGAAGCACGTGCCTGAGCTAAGCCTGATGGAAGCTAGGAATTCCAAGAGGCAGAGCTGAGAATGGAATGCTTTCCAAATAGAAAGGCAAGCCTGGACAAAGGCAGGGAGGTTGGAGGTTCAATGCTGAGTTTGAGGAACAATCAGCAGGTCCGTTTGGCTGGAATGGAAGTTCTGTCAAGGGGAGTAAAATGCAGTGAGCCTAGAAAGGTAAACTAGAGTCAGATTGTGCAGGGCTTTAAATGTATGACCGAGAAGTTGGTATTTCATCCTAGAGGCAATAGGGAGTCATCGAAACTTCTTGAGCAGAGGAGTGATATAGCCAGGTGAATGCTTTAGGAAGATGATTTTGGCAGATTGTGGAGGATGAATTGCACAGGGGAGAGCTACAGGCATGCAATTTCATTGCAATAGACCAGGCAGGAAGTTATGAGGGCCCAAACTAAGACTTTAGAAGTGAAGGGAGGTGATGAATGGGGGGAAAAAGGTAAAGAAGGCCTAAGTGAGGGACAGGGAAAAGTTGAGGATGACTGAGACTGTGATCACAGGTGCCAGAGTGGATGGTGGTGCCCTTGATGGAGATGGAGAAGTACGGAGGGGAAGAGGTTTTGGGGAGAGGGAATGGAATGAGTTTCGTTTTAGACACAGTACAGCTAGGCACAGCGGACAGAGCCCAGGCCTGGAGTCAGAAAGACTCATCTCCCTGAGTTCAAATCTGGCCTCAGATACTTACTAGCTATGTGACCTTAGGCAAGTCACTTCACCCTGTTTGCCTCAGTTTCTTCATCTGGAAAATTAACCTGCAAAGGAAATGGCAAAAACCACTCCAGTATCTTTGTCAAGAAAACTTCAAATGGGGTCATGAAGAGTCAGACATGACTGAAAAATGATTGAATTGACAATGACAACAATAACAAAAGTTTCAGATGCTAATGAGACATCCAGGCAGAGGATGGCAATGTAGTACTAATGTTAAGGAGAGACAAGCTGTGTACATAGATGTAAAAGTCATCTGGATAGAGACGATGTTTAAACTCATGCTGATGAGATTCCCCAATGGGTGTAGAGAACAAGGGGGGCCCTGAGCCTTAGCCGGGGACCCTTGTGGTTACAGGATGGCGGGATCTGGATCCAGCCATAATGACAAAGAAGGAACAATCAGACAGGCGAGAAAACCATGGCAAATCAGTGCCATGAAGAGGAAGCGTCCAAAGCCAGCTACGTGGCCCAGTGTATAGAGCCCTAACTTAGAGTCAGCGAGACCCAAGATCATATCTAGTCTCAGACATATAATAGCTGTGTATTACTGCGCAAGTAACTTATCTATATTTATAGTTTGATAGTTTATAGTTATCAACTTAGTTATGTTCAAAGTTAACTCTATTTGCCTCAGTTTCCTCATCGATGAAATGAAGATAACAGTAATAGCACCCACCTCCCATGGTTTTTGTGAGGATCAAAGGAGATCATACAGAGTGTCCTAAAAAGCCTTAGTGTAACAGTTTGGTTTTTAAAAGGTAGAACTTCACTAAGACTTTTGAGATAATCTGTGTTTGTAAAGTGCTTTGAAAAGCTTAAAGTGTTATATAAAGGCTAACTAGTTTATTACCCAGAGAGGTCAAGAGGGCTGACCAAGAAAAGGCCATTGGAGTTAGCAGTTAAGAAGCTTTGGTAACTTTGGAGAAAGTGGTTTCAGTTCAATGATGGGATTGAGAAGACTAGGGCAAAGGAGTATAAAATGTAAATAGTGTAGAATGGACTGGCAGAAGAAGAGTTGACTCACAAAGAAGTTCCTTTGTTTTCTGTATACAATGGCAGGAGATGCCCTCAGAGAGGGGATAAAGACAGTTTAGGGGCACCAAAGAGAGAAGAAGTAGTGAGAAAAAAAAACAACTTTTCTCATTTTTGTAATGGAGATAATTAATATATTATCTACCTCCCAGGTGGGATGAGGAAAATATTTTGCAAATCTAAGAGTATTACTTGAATGTGAATCAGTTATCAAGAACCTACTATTTAAGCACACCGGGCCCTGATGGCCATGCCAGTTTTGGATAAGAAAGTGTCCTCAAAGCAGACTATGTAGATAGGAGGAGGATAAAACATGTAAAGTAACTGCAACCTCCCACAAGGAAGCAATTCTTTCTCATTCTCTAAACCAGAGGCTCTTAACCTGGTGTCCACAGATATTCTCAAGGGGTTTTTTGATAGATTTGAGGGAGGGTCTGTGAACCTAGGTAAAAATACACTATATCTTCATGTTTACTTATCTCTAACTGAAATTTAGCATTTGCTTCAATTGTTTAAAAGTATTATTCTAGGAAGGGATCTTTAGTTTTTACCAACTACCAAAGGAGTCTGACCCCCCAAAAAGAGCTAGAGGGATTGCATGGGGCAGAGACTGCAAGCCTCTTTTCTCTATTATTCCTCTATCCTACTCTGCACCCAGGACTTCATTCTAAAAAATGCATTCTAGGATCTTAGTATAAACTTGGGTTGGACATTGGAGTTTTTGTGGCCCAGGGCGGGAACTCATAGATTTCAAGGCTCAGAGAATCCAGGGCAGAAATCAGCAGCCTGAATGATGCAGACAGAACTGCAGGCCCACAGTGCCCTCTGGGGGCTGTCCAGCCTTCTATCATCCTTGTAGCTGCTGTAGGCCAAGCCCCATTGATATATCTACCTCTAAAATGGAACTCTGCCAGATCCTCGCTAGCAGGGAGAAAGTCACGGGGTTGGGAGGTGGCGTGGAAACAGGCCCAAAGTCATGGCCTGTAGTTTCCCTTTCCATTCTCCCTCCCCATCCACGCCCTTCCTTGGTTCTACCTAGCAGACAGCATTATTGGGACACAAAGAAGATACTGGTATGGGAGATGGGAACTGAGTTTAGAATCCCTGCTTTGCTGTTCAATCATATCAGTCATATCTGACTCTTGGTGACCCCTTTTGGGATTTTCTTGGCAGAGATACTGGAGTGGTTTGCCATTTCCTTCTCTAGTTCATTTGACAGATGAAGAAACTGAGGCAAACAGGGTTAAATCACTTGCCCTGGGTCATACGGCTAGTAAGTGTCTAAGGTCAGATTTGAACTAACGGAGAGGATTCTTTCTGGCTCCTGGCCCGCTCTGTGCACTAAGGCGCCACCTAGCTGCCTGATTACCATGCTTAGCTGTATAATACTGTTTCTTCTTCCAGAACGTCAATTTCTCCCTAAAGTAAGGGCGTCAAACTAGATGACGTCTAAGGTCACTTTCCAGCTCTAAACCCTAAAGGTGATGTAAGAAACATAGAATGGGGGAGTTTGTTTAGCAGAGACGTCTGGAAGGTACTCTTTGTTTCCTCAGGTATCAGCACTAGGTGATTCTCCCGCCTTACTCACAGCTCCCTGTGGCATTTAGAGTAAGGAACTGGACCTTAATGAGCCACTTTCTGCTTTAGGCAGGTGATGCCAAACTTGGCCCCAGATCATCTTTTAAAGACATTCGGTAGAGGGAGGGAGGGAGGAGCCTCGGGGATAGCATGAGGTTGCTTCTGGGAAGGCAAGGGCTGGGCACTGAGGAATAGGGCAAGAAGGAAACCTCTAAGCTCAGCATTTTAAATGAGCTGAATGACTACGATTACAGTTTCTGTGCTAGGTTCAAAACCGGTACTCTGAGGCAAGACCCTGGTTGACCTACCTTGGTTAGTTACAGTTGCGCATCTATAACCATGTGCAACTGTAACCATTCACCTACTTCATTGAAACCTAGAATGCAATTTGACCCCTTCGGCTGGCGGATGCTGATCAGATGGGGGCAGGAATAACAAAGGGCCCATGTCAGTCACTTAGAGGCAAATAGGGTGGCAGATTGAAGAGTAATGACAAGGCAGCTTTTTCTAGAGATGCTGGCTACAAAGTGCAAAAGCATTGACTGCCTCATCAAAATGAATGGACTTTGCATGATTGGATTAGAGGGAAAGTGTATTAGATTTGACAGCTACCTGTGCCTCTTAATTTTAAAATACCAGATGTAATTCTGTTAGTGTAGGTAACTCCAGGTGAGGAATCTCCCTCTATCCTTTCAGGTTGGCCCGTCCTGAATAGGTTATAGACTTAGAGAACTGCTTTGAGTCACTTAGAGGTTGTGTCATAGGCAAGATTCGAACCCATGTCTTGCTGACTCTGAAATGGTCTCTCTATTATATCCCACTGCAGCTCTTGTTTGTCTTGTATAACCCTCAGTTATCTTAGGTTGTCAGTTTGCTGAAGGTTTCTTAAAAAGTTTTGGATTGAGGGGCAGCTAGGTGGCATAGTGGATAGAGCTCTGGCTTGGAGTCAGGAGGAC